ATCTTTTGCAGAGGAAAGTCAGGAGACTGTCAAACATGAACCCTGCTCTATTGGTTGATAAATGAGAAAAGTTGTGGTAAATGATTGGTTTTGCCCTCTGCACAGGCACAGCTGTCAGAGTTTTGAATACCAGCGTGGAGCATTTTCAGTATTAGATTCTCATGTGCAGATATGCCTCCACTGAGTCAGAGTGCCTCAGCTAATCCCAGCTGCTGTCACTAATTCAGTCACAGCTAAGCAGCATCCTAACAGCTCAGCACATTATACTGTGAGGGCAGTTGCCCGAAGCAACTTCTGCTTTATCTGTGCGTCGTAGTGTGTGTTCATCTACAGTCAGGCAGGGGCTGTGTTCATTAATGACCAGAGAAGGATAGAGTTGCTGTATAGGCAGCATGTCAGAGAGTATGAGCCTTCACACCTCTGTGACAGCAGCTGAAGGTATCACAATACCCTTTCTTTGTGAGTTCAGGGCAGTGACTTTTAACGGGTGTTGTACCAAAGGGCAGGTTGTAACCAAGCAGCAACCTCCGAGGCTAAGAAACAAAACCAGTGCTGAAATGACAAAACCTGCAGTTCCTCTAACAGCCGCTTGAGGCTGGCAGTCAATGGCTGTAACAAATCAACACACACCTCCCTGTACCACATCACTCCTCTTAAATCATGACAACATGCTTCTTTTGTAAAGTGTTGCAACACGACTTTTCTTCACAGTCTGATTATGAGCTGTAGAGAGAGATTCTCTTGATGAATCTCATCTCGCTCTGTGATTTTATACACTGTTTAGCTGGTAATTGTGTATCACACCCAGTGTGAATTGTGGCAGCTGTTAAACAAATTGAAATGACTTGAAAACCATTTTCAAAGGTTTTGGATGCCATTCAGGAGTTTGTTTCAGTGCGGTCCCCTTCTCCTTAGCTTGGTTTCATATATACATCTTTCCCTTTGAGAGAATGGTTGCTGTGAAAGGCATAATCCAAACATGTATGGTATCGTGCAAACATTCCTGTCACTCATTCTCCCATCCCATCCTTCAGTGGTACCTTTGCTCCTCTCATCGCTCCCTGCTTATCCTGGCTGTCTCCTCCTTGTTTGTTCTCTGTATCTGTAAAATACTTCTTGTTTTTCATTCCATCTTCCAACACCAAGTCTTTCTCTCAGTGTGTGCCCACATGAACAAATATGAACATTTCCTCATGCAGTTTGGTGTCCCACTTCCAAGTGGCAATAGATAAAAAGTGTTTCATTTAAACCAACAACTCCAAACCAGGGAGGATTTCAGTAAATACTGTACCACCGGTGTACAACTCAACAAAGTATTTTCCTCTTTTCTTTTCTTTTCAGATCTCAGCAATTGCACATTTTGAATCAATGTCCTTGTGCTGTTGTTGATGATCTACTATTTTAGCAGCCAGTATATAAACTAATTAATGCAATGTGCCAGTGGGCCCAAGGGTGCAGACATATAAAAGGCAGATCGACTCGGCCCTGCATGATGTGAAGGTCATGTTGTTTTTCTCTGATATATTGCTGGTTATTTAATTTTAAAGATTGTTATTAAATGAGCAAACGTCTACATTTATGACAGCGGTTCTGTGAGACTCTACTTAGGCTCAGCTGTGCTTTAAGCTTAATGCTCAAGCCACCGTCTTTGTTTAGCATGCTATCAATGTAAGCATGCTAACAATTCCTAATTAACATTAAATGCAAAGTACAGCTGAGTTTTACAAAGTATTGGGCCAATCTTAAAGTAACAATGGCACTAGATGAATAGTCAAGGAGTCACCAAAGTTCTTAGAAAGTTCATTCTCTAGGGACCCTAAATATTTGTAGAAAATTTTGGGGTAGTTCATCCACTAGTCGTTAGACCAGCTGATTGACATTACCATCCATACACTGGCCCAAAAAATGCACCTGAACTTTAGTATTTTGTTGTTGTAAGAGACAGTGCAACACTGAGTCCTGTCCAAAGATTTAATCAACAGCAGATTCACACTGTCAGTGTCCATAAATATCAGTCAAGACTCTACAACTGACCATGTAAAAGATAAAGAAGCATCACTAGAAACCTGCGGTGCAGGGAACAGTTTCTAAGAACAGAGATATTCTGCTCTCAGAACCTTAATGTACAGTGAATTTATTTACTTATCGCATCAAATGTAATTATTAGACTAGACTCAGTATCAGATATTTATTATTAATTGAACAAAAGATGTGATTGGTTGGAAAGTCTAATACTAGCCTTCGAGCACTACTGAAAGTTTCACATTATAACTTCACAAATGTTTCAAAAGTAACAAAAAAAGTTTCTCTACTGAAGGTGATACAACACAGCGGAAACACCATGACCACCATGCCTCTTTTGTGATCTTCTGAAGCGGGGCTGGGCTCAAATGTCTACTTCTCCTTCTCCCCCTTTCTCTGCTGCTCTCTCCTTCCTCTTTGTGTCCTTTGGTCTGTCTCCTCTGTTCTTCTGTGGCTGTCAGCCCAGCAGGTGACCTTTGCCAGCTCTCTAACAGGGATGTACCCTGCCTCTCCAGTTACTCAGAAAACCCCTGATCAGATCCTCATTATCCACTCCCTCTTACTGCTGTGAGGATAATTTGCAGGGACTGTGTGAGAGAGAGAGGCAGAGATGGAGAGCCTGAGAGGGAGATAGATAGAAGAAAGTCTGTGAAGTTAAGTGAAAAATCTACGCTGCAACAGCAGAGGGACACTGCCAGATTTAGCAGAGGGAGCATGTGGGCGCTAGGAAGTGTGTGTGTGTTGTCAGAAACTTGAGGGAACACTGTCCAGAGCAGACAGAATCAGAGATGTACTGTGTGAAATGCAAAAAAGCAGGCCTTTTACGGTGGCATTAATTCAGAGCAAAGTGTAGGAGTCCTGCCGACACTCTCACAGACTGCTAACAACTCTCTGTACTTCCGTTTGACTCAGGACTCATGACTTACCCAAATATATTTTAAACCTTTATTCATCCAAGGAAGGAAGTTGCTAAGCACACTTTTTCTTTTCTGTAATGGATTGCGTAATATTTATACAGTTACACACACTCAGCTGTCAGTGCTATGTTCAAAAGAACTTGAGTGCAGCAGCACTGAGATTGATAGGTGGCTGACAAGATGCCACTCTTCTAGATCCAGACACAGATTCTGAGTGGTATGTCACTGTTGACTTTTGGTATGCTGCTATTCACTGGTATACCAGTAGGGTAGCACTCAGGCAGTGGAGTTTCACTGTGGGTAATGTAGAGACCGGCAGCAGCGGCATACATCAGTAAGAATCATCATATGCCATCAGACAGTGGCATCTGCCAATGAAACAGCAGTGAGGCTAGTGTGATGCTGAGGTATATGCCAGTAAATAATCATTCTCAGCCTAGGGGGAGTGGCTTATGGCATTGAAACATACCTTTTCACGTGCCATATGTTAAACAGCAGCTAATAAGGGTGGCATATCACTAGGAAATGGCATATGATGTAGCACTGGTATGTAAGCTAACAACTGTATTTGCAAATTAAATGTGAGGCATAAGTGGTGGAAAGTAACTAGCTACATTTACTCAAGTGCTATACTGAAGTACAATTTTTGATATATCTGTACTTTTTTTTTAATTTTCTGCTACTTCATACTTTGACTTCACTACATTTTAGAAACAAATACTGTACTTTTTACTCCATTACATTTATTTGATAACTTTAGTTACTAGTTTCTTCTCAGAATAATATTAACTAGACAAGAAACAATTATCTGACTTTATTGATCCCTGGTGGGAAATTCCCAGAATACCTAGCAGTACTTCAAATTATAAGCATATAAGGTAAAATGAACTCCACCTTTACCAGCTGCAGCATTGTAATTAATGAACACAATAATGTGCCAGTAATTATAATCCAATAATTTAGTATATATTCTGCATAATGGGTACTTTCACTTTTTGTACTTTAAGGATATTTTGATGCAGATACTTTTGTACTTCTCCATAAGTAACATTTTGAATGCAGGGCTTTTACTTGTAACAGAGTTATTTTTACACGGTGACATTTTTACTTTTACTCAAGTAAAGAATTTGAGTACTTCTCCCACCACTGCTGATGGTGGGAAGTGAGGTGGCCAGGGGAACAGCAGCAGGATAACAAAACAGTGACATGTCATTATAACAAGACGCCCTGTCACTGCTTTAGCTATTTGTTAATTTTGATTTAGCTAAAAAACCTTCCACTGACATGGAGTTTCATCCTGACAAGATGAATATATTCAGTCCCTTCTGTTTGTCAAGAGCCAGACCCCATATTGTTTAAGAGGAACCCATAGCACTGCTCTTTATTTGTTAAAGTGAATCACAGTCCTTCATTAAGCTGTTTAACTAATCAAAGACATAAAACACTCCGAGGATATATTCACTAGACTTTGACTATTATTTCTACTCATAGTCATTGTTCAATTTTCATTAAACTGATTTGATTTGATTTGATTTATTCTTTCAAGCATGTAAAGACAGTTGATATGACAACACATAATTTTACACATAATCCAGAATCAGTTTACTTATACCTAGTACATGCTTGAACGGAGTAGGAAGAAGTCAGACTTATCCAGTCCTACCCCATGACATCATCTTACCATCATTGGTTTGCAAGCAGTAAATGATTCACTTCTACACCACACAAGTATTATACTAAAAAAATTATAACAGTGTAATATGTAACTGTAAAAGATGTTATAGCTTCCACTGTCTAGTGTATCATTAGATCAAATGAATAGACACTGAATTTGTAAGTGTGTGATAATGGGTCAGCACTAGGAAGTGTGAATGGCTGTAAATTGAGAGGAGCTTGGACTGGTACTCATAGTGACCGTTCTTTTGAATAAAATACCCGTTACTCATGTCGGTTTGCAAAGGTGTGTTGCAGTGCCACTTGAAATGAAAGAGTTGTGGTTTTCTATTCAAACAGTAATATGCACCAGTACTGCTGTGACCTTGTGCTTGTCTCCCCTCCCAGGTATGCGTATCCTGGTGACCCTGCTGCTGGACACCCTGCCCATGCTGGGCAACGTGCTGCTGCTCTGCTTCTTTGTCTTCTTCATATTTGGCATCGTGGGCGTCCAGCTGTGGGCCGGCCTGCTCAGAAACCGTTGCTTCGTGGAAGACAACTTCTCCTTGTGAGTTCCATGATTACTATGGTGATATTTAGCTTGTGTATTTGTGCCACTGTGTGTGAGTTAGTTTCTATTTTATTGTTTAACCTTAAGTTAAAAAAAAAAACATTAAGTGACAAATACACAGGGGCCTCCACCACCCTGAAACACACATTACTTTATGTTAAGCAGGTAAAATTAACTCACCCAACTACAGCATGAAGGCACCATTATCATGTCATTTCATCACTGATTCAGCGGTGTAGTAATACCACTGGGAAGGAAAAGAATGTGAACCTGTTGGATTGATTTGGTCTTCTGCTTTATTTGCAGTAAATATAAAGTCTGTCTGCTGGATAAACACAATGTGTTTAAGTTAGAAACAGACAGCTACAATCGTTGTGTCTTTGTTGAACTCACCTATTAAACATTCACAGTACTGGTGGAAAAAGCAAGTGATCCCTCGGATTTAATAACTGGTCAAATGTCCTTGGGCAGCAGTTACCTCAGACAAGCTCTATGTAACCATGCAGCATGAAGTGTATGCATACTGAGATGTTAACCAACTTCAGCTTGCTTTTACTCTGCGCTTCTTTTTTTTTACCTCATTGGACACTGTGTTGTGTCCCCAGGGGTCACCTTAGCTGGATGCCCACAGTACCAAATCATCTCTGTTTATAGACAGGTCTCCTGACTGTGGACTGATGAATCTCTAAACTCTTTAAGATTATTGTATGACCAAACTAATTCCTGGGGTTGTTGTCAATATTTTAGATTTAGCCCACAATGAAGGTAACTGACCAGTTAACTGAGACTCTGACTGCTCACTTTCACACACTTTGTTGCAACAGCAGCAACAAGTTCCCAGATTTCATGACATAAATGAACTTTGGTGAGTACAGAGTTCATTATAAATGATAGAAACAATGCCCAAATCTACAAAAGTAAGACCAAGATCATAATAAACAAGAATTATCTTTTCACTGATCATATTCCTATTTATTCCAAAGACACACAGAGTGAAAGGATTTATTTATTATTTTCCTAATAGAGCTGAAATTGCAAGCAGGTCAAGGTCATACTTTAATTTCAATGAATTTTGCGATTATAGAGTGATGAATATGAGACATACAGTCCCTGGAATAATAAGAAAGACCATGGTATATGGAACATGGGCACACATAACTTATTCATGCACCCTTTGTCATCCTGGCTTCTTTTCTCTCTATAGGATATATGACTTTTCAGTTGTAATTTAAGTTTATGCATAATGGCTTTGGTGAGCTGGTGGTATTATCAATTTTTAGACATTCTTCTTGTATCTGTATGGTTTGTATTACTGCGTGACACAAAGTAACAGCTGTTAACTGGGTTGACAGTAACTGTTTGTTAGACTGGTAGAGAATATGTGAGAGCCCCCATTAGGAACCGCATCTAAAGTGTCACGATGGAGCGTGATAAATCATATACCATAGTGAACTCATCGCACCAATAAGTGCTCTTGTAGCTCATCCCAAAGTGTGAAACAGCTTTTAAGAATATATAAATAAGTGACTGAGGTGTTCCCTGTGTTCATGGTGCCATTAAGTATTCGAGGCCACTGCAGTTAATGTAGCCTGTCAGCTGGATGTGTGCTGACAGACAAGCCAGATATCAGACGATCACCAGACACACACCTGTTATTCCAGACAGAGGAGTGCTCTGTAACAACCAAGAGGTGGCATAGTCAGTATACACATTTGTCCATCCAGATCACACAATACCCCAGTTATTTGGCCCCCAGGTTTTTCAACACAATTACAGCTGGCTCCACTGATGACTTCCTTCTGTCTGTTTGAAGGAGTGTTAATCAGTGAAATCATCTGCTGGACTATCTGCATGGTATTAAAACCTGCAGGCTTTGTGGATTCAAAGTTGATTCACTTAATAGTCCGCCCAGTGTATGCCAGAATTCAGAAGTAGGATCATCAGTGATTGCTTCAACCTGGTGGCAAAAGCAAGCTGCACTTAGACAGTGACAGGCAAAAATACTGTAGTTCCCCAAAAGAAAATTTTAACCTGTAATATGTGATTTAGTTTTCAATGATTTTATTTGTCTTTATGCCAAGTTATAGCTGCATTTTCTGTATTCCTTAGTTTGTTGTGAGCACCTGACCGAAGGGTATTATTTTGTAATTTGGTTTAGCAGTTAACTATACCTAAAAATAGGGTTGTGTAACTTTTAGAAAAATAAATACCATTTTCCCTTTTATGAATGAAAGTCAAATTCATAAGCAATACAATGCTCCCTTGGGAATTTCCAGACACTCACTAGCTTTTCCACTATAGCTTTACTTGGCCTGGTATGACCAGAAACCTTTAGTGGCAAATGTTAGCAAACTTTAGCTTGATATCACCATGTAGATGACAGTTTGAGGGTCAGTTCACTGGGGATATGACTGCTGTGTATTGAGCATTACATATTAGCAAACACCTCTCTGTGACTGATCCATACAAACCAGTAATTGTAATTCCTTTCCTCTTCCTTCCTCAAGCCCTCTGTCACTGAAGTTACCAAAATACTACCACACTGAAAACGACGACGAGAACCCTTTCATCTGCTCTCAGCCCCGAGAGAACGGCATGAGAGACTGCGGCTCAGTGCCCAAGCTGTATGAGGAGGGAGGCCTGCAGTGCACCCGGGACATGTATTCATACAACAGCACAGACAACACCACCTGTGTCAACTGGAACCAGTACTACACCAACTGCTCTGCTGGTCCGTTCAACCCTTTCAAGGGGGCCATCAACTTTGACAACATCTGCTATGCCTGGATTGCCATTTTTCAGGTAAGATGTCTGATCACGCCTTTAGAACAACAGCACTTTAAGCCATCAGATTTGATGAACACTTTCTGCGCTAGGGCACATGCAGTATGGTTTAGCTGACACAAGCCTAGTTGGAGACAAATTGCTCTAGTCACTGGTGTTCCAGAGAAATGAGGCTTGCAGGATTAGCAGGTCGCCAAAGCCACACCACTACACTCCAGTCTCATTTTTTCACACCATTTGTTTTCTATCTCCACATTATCTGAAGAAATCTTTGGTTGGATTGTTCATTTATTGCTGGCTCCTTGAGGGGGCAATTTTAGAGGACGAAAGCCAGAGTGGAGATGAGTTCTTCCATAAATCTGGAATATGGTCTCTGTATTTTCAATTCTACTTTTCTTCTTCATGTTCCTTTTTTGTGTCTAATTATTTTCTTTTATTCGTGCCTTTCTATATGTCTCACCTTTGCCTGTGTTCCTCTTTAGGTGATCACCCTGGAGGGCTGGGTGGACATCATGTACTTTGTGATGGATGCTCACTCCTTCTATAACTTCATCTACTTCATCCTACTCATCATTGTAAGTGCTGATTCATGGTGTATGCTGATGATTGAACAAGTGGGTCACTTTGGGGACAGATGTGTGAGCATTCATTGTGAGCGCATGAACAACAATGTCATCTACTCCTCCTGGTTCTCAGATTGGCTCATTCTTCATGATCAACCTGTGCCTGGTGGTCATCGCCACTCAGTTCTCAGAGACCAAGCAGAGGGAGAGCCAGCTGATGAAGGAGCAGCGAGTGCGATTCATGTCCAATGCCAGCACTCTGGCCTCGCTCTCTGAGCCGGGCTCCTGCTACGATGAGCTACTCAAGTATCTGGCGCACATCATCCGCAAGGGAGCCAGACAAGTGGCCCACGTCTGCAGGCTCTTGGCTCGCCGTGCTGGGCTGAACATCGCTGCCTCACCCCCGGCAATGGAGCCCCAACGCAGCCAGGGCCAGAGGAGGAGGAGGAAGTCCTCCAGGCAGGGATCAGTGTCTGTTCATCACATGGCGCACCACCACTACCACCTGGGGAATGGCAGCGTGAGGGGAGGAGGGAGCATCAGGTGTCTGGAGGGGAGGGATATAGAGGTTGGGGTTCATAACAACAACGGAGGGGCTCTTGCAGCAACAGTTGGCCCTGGGCACCTTGCTTTGGCCCTGCCCTCTTCTTTGACAGCTGCCACCTCTGATACAAACCTCCCTATTTTGTCCAGTCCTACTGCTGGAGCTGCGCCAACTCCAGGCTCCCTCTCTGTAGCCCTGGCTCCAAAATCGAGGGTCTTGAAGAGGAACTCTGTGCCATTTGCTGCTCCTGCTCCTAAAAACTACCCTACCCTTCAGGCCCGAGCCCTGGCAGAGTCCAGAAGAGGAAGTGTTACAGCTAGCACTTTGACAAACATCAACTTCAACCTCAATATTCCACACATGCCTTTGGAGAGACGACCATCGAGCCTGGTGGACACATACAATCCAACAGGTAAGCTACTCATCACTAACAAACAGTTACAGCTACACTTTTGAAAATCACAGTCAGAAAAAGTGTTTAATTAGCTCCATTGTTTCTGAGTTAGCTGCAGTGGCTTAGGTGGATTTTGCTTTGCTGAGCATTTGAAAAAAAAAAAAAAAAAAAATCTGGAATTCATAGAGGGTTTGGAAAATAATAACACTATTTTATTCAATCATAAACGTCCGCGTCAGTGTAGGTAGTCAGGTGACACACTACAGGAAGTGTTTTGGTGGAGCAGTATGGTATTGATTTATGACGACTAAGCCTCAAACTATAACACAGTCCAGGGTGGGTTTTGTTGTGAGAGAGAGAACGAGTACTAATTGGAGATAATAAATGTTCATCTTTCATGTTCGAGTTTGCAGCCAGCTTCATTGGCACCCGGCCAAGTTCTAAAAGATAATGTTCTCAGTAAAAGTCAGGCCAGGACTGTTCAGGTTATACAGACAGTGGAAATGGTGGCTGCCAGCCAGACAAGGCCGCAGCACGGGCTGGGGAGACAATGCATTACTCATATGGCACACACTGCCAATCAGCATTAAGCACACTCCCTCTGAACCACAAAAAACTATCCAAAAATGTTATTGTTCACAGTAAATCTCTTTCATTGAATCTGACAAAATGTCTAAACAACTTCATGTATGTAATTTATCACAATCAGGTTGATTTTGGTGCAGTTCTCTGCTTTTTTGTCTAAGTTTCTGCAGCTGACCTTTTCCCACTCTGCTGCAGCCCAGCTCTCCCGCCAGCTGTCAGCTCGTGACCTCAGCACCGGCAGCAGTGCCATGGATACAGCTGCTCTGACCCTGGACCCTGAGAGCTGCCCCTACTGCTCCAAGGCCCTGGCCAATGAATCAGAGGGTTGCACCGAAGGCAATGAAACCCCTGGTGATTCTGACAGCGAGGGTGTATATGAGTTTGCCCAGGACCTCCACCACCGGGATAGGAGGGACAGCCGGCAGCCCAAAAAGAAGCATCGCACTCTGGGCAAAACAGCGGCCAATGTTGTACACTTCTGGAGGCTGGTGTGTGACACATTCAGAAAAATCGTGGACAGCAAGTATTTTGGACGTGGGATTATGATCGCAATTCTGATCAATACTCTGAGCATGGGGATCGAGTACCATGAGCAGGTTAGTACACATGCATGTTGTTTCTAATCATGAAAAGTTGTGTGTGAAGCTGAATGCTGCTGTTTGTGGTCATAGCGAACCCGAGTACCTACAATGGGAATATACACTAATGCATAATGGGCAGTCAGATGAGCATAATGAAAGATTGTGGAAGATATTAGTTGAACTTGGAGATCCTCTGTGTATGTCACTGTGTGTGGTTGTTTAAGTTACACTGCTCCCACAGACTCTACTAGAATTCCTGATGTCTCACTCTGCTCTCGTTTGTTTACATGAGTGTAATTACAGCCATGTGAGAGAAAAAACAAAAAGAGAGCATAAGAGACAGCAAATACAGATAGAGAGAGAGAGAGAGAGAGCAGGGGTTATTAAAGGGTGAGGAAGAACCCACAACATCTGAAAGAGATTTTATCACTTTGTAGATTTTTAATCTTTCTTTTTGTTTGAGACCATTAACACCTGATATCAAAAGGCACTCTGTATTGTGATAGCTTATCTGGATTAGTAGAAAGGCGTGTGAATATAAGGTGTAAATACATGCAGAACACATTGGTCAAAACATCTGCAGTTGGTCTGACAATCACTGTGATCAGATCACAGCCAGGTGTGAATACAGTCTGTTCCGTTTCCAAAATAAATGTCTAAACAAGTTGAATGGAGCCCTATCTCCACCTCTTCCTGCTAGTTCTAGCTGCCCAACAAAAAAGGCAAGGCAAGGCAAAAGCCTTTTAATTTGGGACACATGTTTGTTGACAAGTCTATTGACTCCACCTACCTAATTTGCATATTAAGATCAGTTTACATCAGGGGCAGCATCAGTCTTACCAATACCAGGTGTAAATTTAATGATCCTTGTGGCATACCCTGATCATACTGTATCTACTATATACAGTATATATATCTTTCCATCTTTGGAAAGAAAAACTGCTTTGCCATTGTTTTCACTTTAACATTCAAAGAACGTGTGATTTATGAAAATACACACAATCAAATTTTCAAAGTGCAGTTTTCTTCTCTAATGTTTTAATGAGATGTTTTAAAATATAAAACAAGGGCTCTGTTTTAGCATTGAGGTTTGTATTGTGTTTGAGGCTGTTGTCTTGTGAATTTGTATAGTTGCATAACACCAGTAAAGTAAGTGACACATGTATTGTGTTTGTTTGTGTAGGTGTATAGTAGGAGACTGAAGCCTGGCCAAATTTTATGGGGTTACTTTTGGTCCCTGACCCAGTGCCTATAAACATATCCAGATGCCAAACATCCTCTGCTTTCTACTCTTCGCCTTTTTTTCAGTTCATACTTTTCCTGGTTTCTCCTTCTGCCCTGCTCATCCCTTTTCCTCCTTCCTTCTTTTGTTCATGATTCTGTTCCTTCTTCCTCTTCCCATTTTTCTCTTCCTGTCATTGTCTTCCTCCTCTTTTTCTTTTTCTGTCACTATGCCTATTCCTCCTTTCTTCACCTTTGTCCCTCTTTTGTCATTCTTTCTTATATCCTCGCCCTTCTCATCATCTTCTTTTCTCCTTCTTCTTCTCTCACTCCTCTCTTCCTCACTCTCTTGAGTGCTCTTTTATTTTGTGGGTAGCATGGATCCCTCCAGTCTCAGACAGGCTGCTGAACACTTAACTGAGATGCTTCATTGATCGCAAGCCCGTTCGATGTCCAACAGACACAGGCAACACTAAGCTTCTGTTTGTCTCTGTAACTCTGTCCACATGGAAGAGAGGCTGGGTCTGAATTTCCATGCACTGTCCAGCCAAGTTTCCTACTGGAGTTGTGCACACACTTTAACTTTAAATTAGTTGGCAACCAAGAGGGCATACGGCTTTAAAACTGATTTCTGTTGTGATTTGTCCACCAGATGTGGAATCAGATGATAATGTTAACGTGACGTTCTTGTGGTGTTTTGAGGTTAAATATTTCTACACTATTTAAAGCAAAAAAAAAAACAAACTATTTTTACATTTCTATTTACATTTTTGATTTCTTCATGTGGGCACAATTATCCTATGTTCCTCCACTCATTACCTTGGTCACATTTTGGAGGTGGTGTGTTGAAGCGGCACCTTCATGTAGTGCATTCTTTCCAAGCTTTAGGGTCAGTCTGATAGTTTCAAGAAAGTCATTAAAACAGATTTTTAAATAAGTACAAGCTGAGTTCATTTAAATTGAATTCATTGTTTTACAGTGTTGTTTAAATAACAAAGCACAAAAACAAATGTCTAGAATTGTGTTGCTAGATGATTCAACTTCTCTCTGACCCTGACGAGACTGCACCAGCAGCAAAATGGCTGGTAAACTGGCAGGTTAGTAAAAGGTTTGAATGTGTGGTTAACCAGTTTAAATGGGATGTGATCTCCACGGGGCCTACTAGTTCTGTAGAACATCTCACTAAGCTGCTATGTGATCAACACTATCAGGCCTTTTGGTTCGTAGTAATACAGGATCAAACAAAGATGACACCAAGGGGGATATTTATTAAGTTTTTACAGCTTATGTTTTGGTGCTAAACAGTTTGTGTGTTCATATTTACTAAGGAGTCAGTTTAATGAGGTTTAATGAGTTTGGTTTAAGGCAATGTGTATTTTAAGATGTTCACATTCAGGGACACAACAGTCAGAGAAAAGAGAATGGAAATACATGCAAATACTCTCAGCACCTGATTTACCACCACTGCAACAGAAGGAACTATGGCTGAAATTTAACATCAGGTGAAAGCAGGTGTAAAATTAGCACTGTTAGTCATCTGAGATCTCATCTGAGTAAAGAACGTGTTTCAGGAGGGAGAGGATGCAAAGGATGTGAAGAACTTTTACAGGCTTTCAAATCAAATCATGCTACAATTACCGAACAGAATAAAAGATGATTTGACTGGCAGAAGACCACGTGACTGCAGTTCCGAAATATGTTTGATTTCTTAAACTGTATTAAACTTCAGTCGCTGTAAACTTATACTGTCTTTTATGCTTCCTCTCAGTCCACACTTTGCAATACAGGCACTAGGTTCTTATAAGTGGGTGTGTATTCAAATGAACAGTGCTGTGCTCATTTACATCATCAGTGTTGATAAATATATTGCCAAATTGAAAAATTGTGGTGTTGCAGTATTTTACGATAATTTGCGACAGGATTAGTAAATGCCCTCCAAATGCTGTAAAACCTACTGGTATGGTTACATGTGTGAAGATCGATTTAGTGGTCACATTTGTAGTTTGCATTAGGCTTCAAGTAGATTGCAAACTGGCAATAGTAGACTAAAGTGTTCTTCTCTAACTCTTTCATTAAACATTTTTTTAACTAGCCAAGAAATAAACAAATAAAAAACTAAACTGGGTTACGGAGCCAAATAAAGCCAGGAATCTCTCACCTGTGGTAGCAGTTCCAGTTTCCTTTCTTCATACTTTTTCCTTGTTTGCTAACAAAACAAAATACCAAAGCTGTGCACCACTTCTGTAATTTACTCATGCATGTTAGCTCACAAAGGCTAACTCAGTGGCTGATACAGCCTGCAGCAGCTTCACAGTCAAAGCCTTCCAGCTTTATATAAAGTGCCTCAGCATTTTATAACGCCCAAAGCCTCTTTTAAGTTGCTTCATTCCTGCACAAATTAAATCTAAAATATTGATTCTAATTTTCTCTGTTCCACACCAAAATCTACTGGGACCAAAACACCATCGGGAATGTGTCGAGATCTAATGAGAGGCTAGGTGTTTATCCTGGAGGGTTGTTATTGTGAATCAGCTGCACAAAGAGATGAGTTTGTAAACTCTTCCCATAAATAATGCAAAGAAGAAGAAGCAACAGCAGACTGCAGTACAGATACAAGGTATATGAGTCAAAGTGTATGATCTGAGACAACTATCTCTTTAAGAAGTTGTGTTTCAGCTCTGTTGAGTATGACAGCTCATTGGTCAAGTTTACATGTTTACCAGTCCCCCCTCCTGTTGTGAAAAAGAATGACCACACATACCAAAATAAACACACAATCGATCATTCAACTACAAACAGGGTTGTAGAGCTCTGGCTGTGTCTTATAGGGAGAATCTGACAAGATAAAATATAAATAAAAATGGAACTTAGAGTGTAACACATGTAAAGTAAGTGAATCAAACTCAAAGCGCCACTTACTTGTAAAAACCAATTAAATGTCTCTGCTGATAATAATTACATGTAATGTGCTTATTAATCATCAATTATGCTCATTATGAACAGAATAGTTGCATCTGACAGAAGACAACATGTTATCAATTTGTCATGAAGGCAGAGTTCCTGCAGCTCTGTGTGTGTTTGCATGTGTGTGGATTATGAAAAAATTGCAATCTGCAATCACTTTTTTTTGCAACAAACAAACAAAAAGGGAGAAGATGAAATGGTACCTTGAAAGTCAATTTCTTGCCAGATAAAGTCAACAAAATAAGTCCACTCTGGCAACTTAAGTGTTAACTGCAACATGAAGCACTATGCTCATGTCAACTATATTTGCAACATTTATTTTTAATTTCTGGGAGATAGATGGTTGACGTTTGTCAAGAAAGACACAGACTAATGCATGATGATGATAGTATGACATTTCTCAGTGTCACAGCCATCTAGTGTTAAACTCTGCATATAAGGTATATCATTCCCCACAGGGACCCTCAAACATCCCAAGTGATGAAACAATAAGCAAAGCAGATCTTTTATTCAAGATTAAGTTATACGTAAGGGATTAAGCGGTAGAAGGTGAATGAATGAAAGTTATACCTAATAAACATAGTCAATGTGTTTCCTTCCTTACAATACATCTGTAAAAAGTGTTTTGAATCCTGCATTACATCCACCATAACACTGGCTGCCCAGTGGAGTAGTTTGAAATTGGCTGCAGTATATTGAATGCATTTCCAGCTTGTCCATGCACATTTGCATGCAAATTCACTATAAACAAAACCAGGACCATCTTGTCAATACATTTAAGTTAGGTCAGCCCTTTTTAATTGATTGTTTTTCTCTACTCATTTCTGAGC